GGGAAGAGGGAGGGGTGAGGGCATGTGTTGCCGTGGTGAAGGAGCACATGCAGAGGTAACAGACTGAAACAATGGTCTTGATGAAAGGGAGAGGTCATGCCTGGGATTCAAGGAGGGAGATTATTGGCCAAGCAGGTCCCCTGTTTTATTAGACTGGATAACAAGGGTGGTGGGGGTGGGAAGAAGTCTGCAGAAAACTGACACAAAGCCACCCCCATGCACCAGTGGGCAGCCAACTGTTCCAAAGTGTGACCAGCACAATGCCAAAAAGATAAGTGTGTGTTGTGTGTATAAGTGTGTGCATCTGTATAGGCTTGTTAGCATTTGTGTATAGTTTGTCGGCTGATTAGCATTTACCAACTGGTTTTCCCAATCTACCCCTGGTAAACAGACAAAAAGGGACATGTAGTTATCCTTGTTATCATTATGCATACTCAATTACCTTCTCTGTTATTAACTTGACTCATATTTTTACTGGTTTATTTAACAAGTCTGATCTCTCAAAACTCAGTTTTTCTCCCCAAAAAATAAATACATTTTACTGACATCTAGTGATATTGCAAGTATAACAGTAATAACAGACTGAATGTTTCCTCAAAATTATTTGAGAAGTTTCAGCAGCCATTTATCTTTTTCTGGACCCCTTGTACTCTGGATTTTTAACATACTTGTCTCTCATCTTGTTCTGTAGATTATTCAGTTAAATACAGGATGTCGTTTAATTTAAAAAAAAAATTGTTTTACCTTTATTGAATTAGGGTTGAGGCAGATTCTAACTCATGAAACAAAAACTGTGTCCAGAAAAGGATATGTTTTTTTTAATTGGAGTAAAAAACAGTGAAGAAACAACTTAGATGCTGAATGTCAATATAGCTTTAAAATTGTCCAAATTAAACTGACTCTGATCTGGTGCACTTGATGACAGTCATGCAGTTTCTGATGTAACAACATGCCACTTAATAATTATAAATTCTTCCGATAATTACTAAACTCAGGTGCGGCAGAATCCCAATCTGATTGGACTGGTTGCTTGAGTGGTGCCAGTTCACTCCCAGAGCACTGCTGGGGTGCCCTTGAGCATGCATCAAACCCCCAACTACTGTTGTGCTCTTTCATTGGCAGCCCCTCACTCTGAAATGTCTACGTGCAGGTACACATGATGCTGTTTGTGCACGTGTGTGTATTACTGGCCTATGTGTGGGTAGCATGTTCAATAAGAGAGTGAACACAAAAGGAATATCCCCTGCCTTGGGGACAAGGGTTAGGTTATTGTGCCATGTGTCAGAAAGTAATTTGAGTCACTATATAAATCAATGCATTAACTGCTCTCCATTTCATTTGAATATCTATATTTAAGCGTTTCAAACGTATTATGTTTTGCATATGTTCTGGGCTACTTTCTACTAATTATCCCAACATGCATGAGCATGGGGCCCAGAAATCCTGGCGATGCCCCCATGTTTTTTATAGTTTAGAAAAATCCCAAAGGAAGATATGCATTGTTTATCTATTTGAATATCAAATGGCCTTGCTTGCAGATTACAGTATCACTAATGTAAAAATTAGGGTGTTTGGAGGCTGCTATCATTTGGGTTATGGAAACATGAAGGTCAACATCTTGACCTGGGCTCTAGTCCTTCAGATGACACTCTGCACAGCAACCACTTCTGCTGTTTCTCCATTCAACCTCTCTAGCCCTTTTGCCGGTCTTTCTTTGGGGTATAGGGTTAATTGTGGGGTAATTTATGAAGTTCTGTCAGCATGCAGCAGGCCAATGTATGAGACAGCCTGCTGACCAAGCCCCATTCAGCTCCAGAGGAGAAGGCCCGGACTCCTTTTATCCTAACCATATTCAGCATCCCTCCCTTGGTCTGGATCCCCTCTTGACTCTCTCTGCCCTGCAGCTCTCCACAGCATGGGACCCTCAGTATCTGCTTAAAGATGAAGGGGAAAGTTATTGGACACTTCAGTGACTCATAAACATCCAGGGGATTTTCATGGAGCCTTTGTGTCTTTTTGTTGTAGAAGAGATAATACAATTGTTTCAGGCCTTGTAAATGAATAAATCTCCAAGCAGTTTGTCCTAGGGGTGACAGATAACAAAGGGCAATACGCCAGTCCTCAGAAACACTCCTTGGCCCGTTCAAACAGTTTGTGAAACAGTTTTATTTCTTTTCCTCGACATTGTTACTCAGAAGGAAACATTAAGTACCATAGTTGAAGCAAACCAAATGAATTTGCTCCCTTTCTGACTTCAACAGCTACAACTATTAATAACAGCCTTATATCTATTATCATTAATATAAATATTGAAGTAAATCTTAGAGCAGCTCAACTTCAACCACTATAATTACCATAGTCAGTCCTCCCCAGTTTTTCCTTGCCACTGTATCTTTGCTTAATGTTGCTTAGCGCTGTGCTCATGATGGATTAAGTTTAAAAAAGTAATAAGGATTAAGATCTGTTACCTGCTCTTTTGTAACATAACAAAGAGTAAAGGCATTTAACTGACCTTTTTCAACATAACAAAGAGTGAGGTTTATCCATGCTCTTTTGTAAAGTGTCTTAAGATAAAATTTGTTCTCAATTGGCTATACAAATACATTTTGATTGAATTTAGCATATCTTCTCCAGCTGATCCCTTTTTCTACAATGATCTTGATCTCCGAGCATATGAAATTCAGGAAGAATTGAGAAAAATAGTGAAAAAACAAGAGGCAGCTACATTGGGTATGGGGTCTGCTCATGAGTTACGACCACATGCCCTAATAGAAAAAAGTTCTGTGGGGCATGTACACTGAACAGGTTTGCTCTTCAGCTTAGTGATTTCTTGAGCCATGATAGGGCCTAATCTCACTTGATCCTCTGCCACTACAAGCATACGTCTGTGTTAATGCCTTCATTTTCTGGTCACATGAGCACTTTCATTGGACCGCACCGTGTGAAATAGCAGAAAGGGGATCTTGAGCTCTTTAATTAGATGAAGTATCCTGAAAAGCGGCCTCCTGAGAAGACAGACAAACATTCTAATGCAGGGTTAAAAAGGTAAAGATTATGTTGAAGCTTGGAAGGTGGTCACACTTTCATTTGTAAAACACAAAGCTTGGATATCATTGTGTCTCTATGTGTGGCCAGTTGCCAGTGCAAACACATGAATAAGAAGAGGAATGTAGAGGAGAATGCATTCTATCAGGCTCATGCATATAATAATGGAATAAGGGATGGACTGATTATACTCCTTTTATTTACCCAAAGCCCCAACCAGTTTTCTATTTAAGTTAGTAATTTTGTATTCATTTATAGACTGCTCTTAACTGTATCCTCATTTAGTTGATATGATAACAAATCTCTCTAAATGAACAACATGTAGCAAATTGTGTCTCATTAAATATAATTTCAGTCACATGATAGTTTTCTAAGAACAATTAAGAAACATCCATAATTTGTTCTTATCTACTGGCTGTTAAGAACACAACGAAAGCTGTGTCACAGAATCTGACATGAAATTTTCCAAACGACCGGGAAAGGATAAAAAGCAGATAATTGTGTCTTACATAGTTAATTAGAACCTGACCCAATTAGCAGTGGAGGGGCTACAGTCCTGTTGGCTCTGTGCCTAACGATGGGAAAATCCATATGCTCCAAATAAATGGCCCATCTTGGCTCTCAAAGCTATCCAGTTATAATATTACTGAATGTTGGCTGAGCAACAGCACCATGCACCCCCCCGCTGGATCTACAGTGGGGGGTCCTAACGTCCCTCTTGATTCCCAATTCTTTCTGTGGGTTCCTATTTGTTTAAGAAGGTTTTCACTTTTCAGAGGCACAAACATATTTTGACAAATTTGAGTATTGTCACATATAATTTGATTAAAATAACAGAAATTCACTGAATACATTTGGTAATTGAAAAAATATAAACAATTTTTAAAGTCATATAGAGAACTTTTTTTCATCTAAGTGGATGGGATTTGATCTTTTGTGTTCTGAAAGAATACAGCCTTGCTCTGTATCATGAAGTACGCCTAATAATCCACCCATCAGTCACTCATTCACATATATTTTTCAGATGCAATACAATTAGAAATAAAAACGTGACTGTTAAGGTCAGCCTTTGCTGGGTTTGATTTGAGTTATAGAAATGTAGAAGGAAAATAAATAGGTTACAGAAAACAGAGAAAGTGCTACTAGCACTTTATGGTAAGACAATGCTGTGCCCACTCTTAAGTATCTATTTAACTACCTCCTCCCTAACTGAAGGACCCCCTCCCAGTGATAGGGATCTGATTTCACAGACAGTTTGAGGAGCCAAGTCAAATTTATCTCCTCCCTTTTGTTTTGAACTCCTGGTTAAATTCTAACTAGTCTGCCATTTACTCTGTTCCTTACATGTTTCAGCACCTCATATGGTGTTCATACCATTTGCTAACGTGTGTCATGGATACCAAATGTTATTAAGACATTTAGACCTAATATATTGCGTGCTACTGACAAGTGAAATAAAGATTTGTTCCAAATCACTCTAAGGAAGTTTAAACTCTCACTTTTACTTGCACTTCTAATTACTCAGATGAATTCCCATCAGGAAAATGTACTGTGTCTGCATTATTGCAAACTATAATGTAAATATTTTACCTACTCACAAAAGAGTCGTACTTACTTTTGCTACAGTTCCTATTAACACATTCACTGTACATCATGTATTTTTAGAGGACATTTTAACACAACTCTTTTTGACTCCTAAATGTGCATCTTGACACAGCACACCCCATTTTTGGTTAATGTGTAGAGGGTTCAACAGGGTTGGGGGTTTCAAACGTTAGTGTGGGAAGGTGAGGTGGGGGCTGCGAAAAAGAGATGTAGGGGTGGGGGATGTCCCTTCTGCAATTGGCTCATGCTCCAAGTGTCTCATTATGCGACTTTATTGTTCCTTTGTTTTGTCAGTGGTATAAATACAACCCAGTGGGCCCAGAGGGTGACAGTTAAGACAGATTGATTCAAGTGGACAGACTGGCCATTAGACTGAACAGCACAAACTCAGAGGCAAGTGAAATTGCGGCGACACTACAGAGAACTGGAAAGCAGAGCAATAAGAAGTACGAGGTTTTTTCAGCTGCTTTCTTTTTCAGTTTAAGTCCCAGTTTTCTCTTTTTTTCAACCAAAATGGATTCTGACACAGGCTCCACCTGCAGCCGCTCTTCATCCCCAGACCTGATTGTAGACGACTCTGCCGGGAGTTTCTTCTCCAACAAGATGTTCCAGACATATTGCAGAGAAAAAAGAGCTGGCAGTGAGGATAACGAAGGCAGAATGATTTGCAGTGGGGGTGCCAATACCAGGTCTGAGCTCAGCAAAAATGATGTGCAAGACCTGAGATTGAAAGTCAACAGTCGGGAGAGAAAGAGGATGCATGATCTGAACCAGGCAATGGACGGCCTGAGAGAGGTAATGCCCTATGCTCATGGACCATCAGTACGCAAGCTTTCGAAAATTTCCACCTTGCTTTTAGCTCGCAACTACATCCTCATGCTTTCCAGCTCTTTGGATGAGATGAAAAAGCTGGTGGGTGACGTTTATGGAGCCAGTGCTTCCATTCAGAGCCGTCCAGCTGCCCTACCTGCTATTAACCCTGCAGCCCCCACTGCACATCTCCCTCTGCATCCTCTGGCCCAGTCTCTGCACTCTCTGGTGGGCAGCGCCCCTTCAGCTCTCCAGCATCACTCAACTTCTGCTGTAGTGCCAGCCCCACACTCGCCTCCCTCTGCCAGCTTCCTGGGTTTTCATTCTGCTGTCCAGGGACTTCTTAAGGACCCCCATCATCTGACCGGCACCTATAGGCACTTTCCTGGCATGCCTTGCCCTTGCTCACTTTGCCAGCCTTTGCCCACCTCCACATTACATAGCTTGTCTATGACCAAGTGAGCATGACTCTCTATACACTAACCTTTGTCGTGTGGATGAACAAAGTTGCTGACCTGAGGTGACTGAATGAACTGCTATAATGATAAATAATGCCAGAACATGTACATACTGTATATATCTTCTGAAAACTGCTGCTATCTTTTATCATTTGTCTCATTTGCATTGTTTCTACACTGTATACAAATATTCAAAGTCTTGTAAGGGGTTTTCTCAAAGTAGCTAAAACAGTTATTTATCTGTGGTGAAGAAATGTCAGAAACTATAGCAATGTTGTACAGGATTTCTATTTTCCTAAATTAAAAATTTGGTATACATGCAATTGCTGTCTGTTTTTTTTCATGAGAGTAATATTTAAATTACTGATGATTCGAATAATTTTGTTTTTCTCTAAACAAGTCAAATTAAAGAAATAAGCCAGGCACTATTCGTCTGAAAACTGTCAATAAAAGTTGCTGCATTATAAACTATTAAAATACAAAGCAGCTTAATTAAAAGTCAAACAAAACCATCCTATCTAACTGAATATAGGGACAGCTGTGGCTCAGTCGGTCATCTATCAACCGGAAGATTGGGGGTTGGATCCCAAGCTCATGCAGCCACATCTCCGATGTGTCCTTGGGCAAGATACTTGCCCCAAGTTGCTTCATCAGTGACATAATGTGTATGAATGGGAATAGTTACTGCTGATGGCCACTTAACATAGCAACCACTGCCATCAGAGTGTAAATGGGTAGGTGTGACCTACGTTGTAAAAGTACTTTGTGTAGTCAGAAGACTTGAAAAGCGCTATACAAGGTCAAGTACATTTACCATTATTGGTTGATGGCAGGACAGAAGAGTATTTGTAAAAAATGTATGCATAGGACAAAGTGTAATTCATTGCTTACCAGTTTTAGAGACTACTCTTTGCAGAGCTAGAGGGACGAAAGGACCAGACAATATCACAGAACAGAGGCTACATGTGGCGTGCAGGGGACCATCAATCTTACCTCAATGGGGTGTAGGAGATGAAAAGCCGACACAGGCGCCAGTAAGACGCGTCACTTTTGTCTGACACACGAGAGGGACATAGCCATGCCGTTAGCTTGAAGCCAGTGATTTGTCTCTGTCTCATAAGAACTCAAAGAGCAAATTTAAATGATAGTACATAATGTGATCGGTCTGAAATAAGTTTCAATCAAAGCAAACAGAACTTCTTTCAAAAACTTGTAGACAGTTTTTACATACTCAAAACTCGTATTTGCAGAGAAATGTGGTTGCATTATAGTGAAAATGTATTTGTTTAAAAAAAATAATCAATCCAGTATTAATCCTTCTAAAGTTCTATTGACACTGATTGCCATGAAGAACCTGGAATCAAACAACGCAACATTGGATGACCCTCACTTAGCACAAATCAAGCGTGTAAACTACATACTTATCCTCCCACGGCTGACAGATGAGTTGGAGATCGGGATAAATAAAGAGATGTAACTCATTGTCAACTACCTCCCTCCTACACCTCCTCCTCCTGAGAACTCTGAATAGAATTGAACAATAGCCATGTGTGAGACACAAAGGCCGGTTGAGTCCAGGCTCACGTGCCTGGGACACAAATCTCATCCATTCAATCTACATTTCATCATGGTAACAAGCGCTGTCAGGCCAAAAGGCCTGACACCCTTGCTCACCACAAAGGCTGTTAGCGCTAATATATGAGGCTATTGACACTGAAAAGAGCTCTTGTCAGTACTTGGGGATTGTCAGCTGTATGTCTCAGTAGGGGGAGGCAGCTGCCAGCCAAACCAGGCTGTGGAGCTTCTCTTGTGGGGACCGATGCTGCTTTGTCACCAGGTCCCCTGACACACAGACCTCATATCCTCCCACAAGGCCCCCCTTTCTTTGGGTAGAGGTTAAAATGGGAAGCAGAACACATTAGATTAGTGATGATCGCCTCTCTTTTTTGGTAGATTATTAGAGACACTGACTTGTGCAAATCTGGTGTTTCCTGATTGGATCCAGATGGTGTCATCCCACATTGTGGCACCAGCAGTCTGGAGATTGTGTGTGATGGATATGCATATGAAAAATACACTGTTGGCTGGTCCTGTGTACCATTGTGGTTGGCTGCTGCTGTCATCATTGTGCTCTTTGGCAAACACTTACCAGCAGCGCTGCACTTACAGTCTTACAGCTTTTTCAAACATGAACTCCTGAAAATGTCTAAAAAATTAACCTGACATTTTGTTTCTTTTTCACACATGTCCCTCATAATGGGAGAATGAGTCAAAGTCGATTTTTGCCATATGAACTGGACATACTAAAAAATTGTGTCTCTCCGACCCACGGAGAATTACAATAGTAAAAGTGGAATGTTTACAACATTACCAAGATGGTAGATGAAGAAACAGAGTAAGAATATGTAGCTGCTTACAGACTGCCATTTGAAGGCAGAATACTAACATACCTGTCATGCCATGTGTCTGACCAGGGCTCAGAAAATCAGCAGAGACACCTCCCACCCCCACCAAGGACTGTTTTCGCTGCTGGACTCTGGAAAGAGGTTCCGCAGCCTCCGAAGCAGAACTTCCAGGTTCTGTAACAGCTTCTTTCCACAGGCCACAAGACTTTTGAACACGAAAAAATAATCCCTCCATTCCCCCTCAAACCCCCACACAGGACTACCTCACTGGACTGTAAAATACAATATAACGTGCAATATATTTATCTGTATAGTAATTTACTCATAATGTTTCTTTTTATATCTATTTATATCTGCACCTTATTTCTATTTTTTATATGTAAATACATGCTGCTCTTTTTATCCTGCACTACAACGAGCCAAATGCAACGGAATTTCGTTCTTATCTGCACTGTAAAGTACAAGTTTGAATGACAATAAAGAAAGTCTAAGTCTAAGTCTTGCGCTGACAGATACGGTCTGATCGTCCTGATGTTATACAGGACATGACCAGGTAATCAAGGCCATGTGAGCCTTATATCTTAGCTGCACATCCACCATGACACCTGCATGGGACTGGCTGGGATGACAAGGAGCTCAGTCTTTGATAGGTTGAGTTGAAGGTGGTGTTAATTTATCTAATTAGACATATCAGCAAGGCTTGATGAAATTCATGAGCTGGGTATCATCAACATAGCCGTGGTATGGGAATGGGATGATTGCAACAAGTCAGGTGGTGTGCATTGAGAAGAGAAGGGGACTGAGCACTGATCCTTGAGGCACCCCAGTGGATAAATTGTGCGCTTTGGACACTTCTCCCTTCTAAGACACACTCCCTGAGAGGTAGGACAAGAACCAACAGGGGGCAGAACCTGAGATGCCAGGAGAGAGATCCTGAGATGCCAGGATTTGATGGTAAACTGTGCCAAAAGCAGCTGACAGGTCTAGCAGCAACAGAACTGAGGACTGACTAGCAGTTCTAGGCCACTCTTTGACTGCACTACTAAACCGTCAGTAGTGCAGTCACAGAAGAGTGGCCCAGTTTAAAGCCTGACTAATTTGGGTCAAACTGATTGTTCCTGAAAAGGAAATCAGAGACTTGATTACAGTGTGCACTTGAGTAATTGTAGATAGGGTAGTAGTGAAACCGGTGTGTAGTTTTCAACCTGGGCTGGGTTGAGTGTGTTTTTTTTTAGCAGCGTGGTGACCCGAGCGTGATTGAATGCAGTGGAGAACAAACCTGTTGACAGAGAAGAGTTGATCATATGCATAACTGCAGTGGGTGTAAAGGGAAATGGTCTGATAAAGGCTTGATGAGATTGGGTCTAGAGGACAGGTGGTGGGCCGAGGGTATATCATAAGCTGACTGAAACACTATATTTTAGTTGGTGCCTGTAGGCTGCGTTGGATCAGAAACTGGTTACTGATGATTTAAACCTTTTCATTAATTTATGATGCAAACATATCTGGTGTGAGCAGAGTGAAGGGAATAGGAGGAGGTGGATGAAGGAGTGAGTTAAAAGCAAAAAACATTTTTTTGTGTGTCTGTGGCATCGCAGATCTTGTTTAAATAATACGTGGTCTTAGTTTTTTTGAATTAAGTTTTTACTTATAGTCGCTGAGGTCAGTAGACTCTTTGGATTTACGCCATTTTCACAGCGGCCCTGAGCACTGCCCTTTGCTCCCGGATGACCTCAGTAAGCCATGGACTAGGGGAGGTGTTCCTTACAGGCTATGTGACTGGAGGCCAGAGTTTGTTCAGAGGGGAGGATAGTGAGGCTCATCTAGAGACTGAGGCAAAATCCTTATGAGCAGGAATTACTTCATTAGAGAACTGAGTAGGTGGATACTCCTCTAAAATGCAGTACTTTAAAGACATTTAAAATACTCCTTTTGGGAACTAAATGTCATGAAAATATGCAGAAAATGTTCAACAGAGAATTCAATATTCAAAGTTGGCTTTGTACAAATTGCATGGACAGAGTTAATTGGGCCACTGAAAGACAAGGGAGGCAATATTTTGGGACACACGCATGTATGCACACACGCACACACATTTGCAGCATCTGGATAAAGGGGGACTTCAATTAAGGGAGAGCACACTTTCACAGGCTTATTGCCTATTCCTTTTTTTTTCAGTAAACCCCACAACCCCCTTTCAAACCAGAATACTGATGAAGGGAAGCACAGCTGCTGGGTTTCTGCACATACAGGCACTATGGAGTGCACATACGCTCACTTGGATATCCACAGATGTACCAAGAGCAGAAGATTAATGAGGGGATCTAGTTTGGAATTGTTAAACACTGATTAACAAACAAAACAACTCTAGGAGATATTTCATTGGTTTCATATGCAGCTCATTGGTTAAATCTGTTAAACTCAATTAAACAATTTCATATTGGCATACTCACACTGAACAAAGTTGTCCCATACCGTTTTTAAGCATGATTGTCCCACCTCCCCATTCTCTTGCTGGCCTGCACTGTCATGATTTGGTCCTGTTTAGTTGTATTTTCAGACTTTAGAATTATTTTTGTTTTAGTGGTTCTCATTATACCCTGGTGTTTCTCTCTGCCTCTGTGTGTTTCCCTCCGGTTTGATTACCCTCATTGTCTTCACCTGTGTTGTATGTCTCACCTGTGTTTGATTGCCCTTTTATAGTCTCTGGCCTTTCCGAAAAGTCACAGTTCAGTAAGGAGAGTGGACTTTTCAATGGGGGGTTTCAGTAGACTGCAGTATGGTTTGGATGCATCCTTCCAGGAAATTGGTTAGGGTTATTGTATTTTAACACCCATAATGCTGTGTGAA